ACGACGACGACGACGATGATGATGACGACGACTTTGTCGCTCCCTCAAAATCGCGTCGAACAGCTCCCAGCGACGATGACGACGAGGACGACTTTGCCCCCGCGCCCAAGAGACCCGCTACAACCGCCGCCAAGGCCAGCTCGTCCACCACCACAACCTCGGCGCCCAAGCTGCCCGCCCGCAGAGCCGCAGCTACTGCAAAATCCATCCAGATCGACGACTCGGACGACGAATTCCAAGACCCGCCTCCGACGCGCAAGACTGCGGCCAAGCCTGCTGCCAAGCCGGCCTCCAAACCTGCTGCAGCGCCAGTTCCGGCCAAAGCGCAGCCCTCCACCGAATCCCATCCCGCTGCCGACAAGAAGGCGTCGTGGAAGGACATCGCAGCCCGTCGAGCCGCAGGCCCCTCGGCCCCAGGTTCCAAGGACATCCCACAGGGTCAGCCCAACTGCTTGGCCGGTTTAACTCTGGTCTTCACCGGCGAGCTCTCTTCCATCAGCCGCGACGAAGCCACCGACCTTGCAAAGCGCTATGGCGCCAGAATCACCTCTGGGCCCTCGTCAAAGACCTCTTACGTCGTGCTGGGCGAAGGCGCGGGACCCAAGAAGCTCGAGTCCATCAAAAAGAACAAGATCCCTACGCTCGACGAGGACGGCTTCCTCGACCTCATCCGCAGCCGAGGCGCCGGCGAACTCGACGAAAAGGCAAAGGCCAAGATCAAGGCAGAGGAGGAAAAGATCAAGCAGGTCGCAAGCTCCATGGGCCCTCCCAAGGGCGCCCAAGTCGACCTCTCCGACTACGCCAACATGCTCTGGACCACAAAGTACGCGCCCAAGCAGATCAAGGACCTCGTCGGCAACAAGGCCGCCGTCGAAAAGCTCGCCGCTTGGCTCAAAGCCTGGCCCAGCTCGTACCGCAGCAACTTCAAAAAGCCCGGCAAGGATGGCATGAACGTCTACCGCGCCGTCCTCATCTCGGGCCCTCCCGGCATCGGCAAGACCACCTCGGCACACCTGGTCGCCAAGATGGAAGGCTACTCGCCGCTCGAATTCAACGCCAGTGACGCACGCTCCAAGAAGCTCATCGAGTCCATGCTGCAGGACACGATCAACAACAAGTCGCTCGACAGCTGGTACTCTGGCGGCAGCGGCGGTGCCAAGGCTTCGTCGAGCGACGTGCCGCGCATCCACGAGCGCACCGTGCTCATCATGGACGAGGTCGACGGCATGTCGGGCGGCGACCGTGGCGGCGTGGGCGCCATCAATGCGCTCATCAAGAAGACCAAGGTGCCCATCATCTGCATCTGCAACGACCGCCGCAACCAAAAGATGCGTCCCTTCGAACACACCACCTACAACCTCGGCTTCCGCAAGCCCGACGCGGCGGCGGTCAAGTCGAGGATGCTTTCGATCGCCTTCAAGGAGAAACTCAAGATCCCCGGCGAGGTCATGGCGCAGCTCATCGAGGCAGCGCAGAGCGACATTCGCTCGGTGATCAACATGCTCAGCACGTGGAAGCTGTCCAAGAGCACCATGGACTTTGACGAGTCCAAGGCTCTGGGTGCCGAGAACTCCAAGCCGGGTCTGCACACGCCCTTTACGCTGTACAGCGAGCTCTCGTCGCCGTACATGTTTAGCGCCACTTCGCGCAAGACGCTCAACGACAAGGCGGATCTGTACTTCCAGGACCACTCGTTTGTGCCGCTCATGGTGGCCGAGAACTACGTCAAGGCGCGACCGGTGCTTGCGTCGCGCGAGTCGGGCCCGCGTCAACAGCTCAAGCATCTCGAGCTGCTGCGCAAGGCATCCGAGAGCATTTCGGACGGCGATCTGGTGGACCGCATGATTCACGGCAGCGAGCAGCACTGGTCGTTGATGCCTCTGCATGCGATCGCGTCATCGGTGCGACCGTGCTCGTTCATCTACGGTGGTACCGAGGGTGGCTTCCCCAGCTTCCCCGGTTGGCTCGGGCAGAATTCCAAGCAGCAGCGACTGACGCGCGCGGTGGTGGATGTGCAGGCCAAGATGCGTCTGGTCTGTTCGGGCTCCAAGCACGACTTGCGTCAGCACTACCTGCCATCGATGTGGCGCATGCTTATCCAGCCGATGATCGACGAGGGCGCCGAGGGTGTCGAGCAGGTGATCCAGCTCATGGACGACTACTACCTGGGCGTCGAGGATCGCGAGGTGATCCTGGAGCTGGGACTGGAACCCAACAACGCGGAAGCGGCGCTCAAGAATGTGCCGAGTGCGGTCAAGGCCGGCTTTACGCGCAAGTACAACGCCTCGAACCAGTGCGTATTTCTTTTCTGTGCGATTGCATCTCTTTTTGTACTGACCCTTTTTCTCGTTTGGTAGTCCGATCGCGTTCCACAAGGCGACCGAGTTGGGAGTCAAGACCAAGGTGGGCGGTGCGGGGGTGCCTGATCTGGAAGATGCGGTGGAGGAGGAGGTGGTGCCGGATGACGACGACGACGAGGACAAGCGCGACGACGACGATGTCTCCAAGGACAAGCTGGTCAAGAAGCCCAAGGCAGCAGCCGCAGCCAAGGGCAAGGCCAAGGCCAAGCCCAAGAAGTAGCGCGGCGCGGCGCTCTAGCAATGCATCTTTCTCCTCCCGAGCTTTGTTGAAGATGGTTGCAGGTTTGAACGCGGTGGCTCGGAATGAGACTCGGCTTCTGCGGGAGGTTTGATCATGTGGGCTGGTCGCGGGGGGGGGGGGGGGCCCAA